ACAGTAGCAGCATCTTCGCCACTTGGGGGCGAATCGGGTATCCACAATCTATGACGTCACGCGGAGGCCTTTGTCTTCTAGGTGGTATTGACCCAACTCTGCCCCACCGCATAAAAAACACACACAAAAAAAAAACACGTAGATTATAGAATACGTTTTCGTGCAGGGTTCATATTTTTCACGTACCGTATTGGCAAATCGAACGGCCCGCATCGCAGTCATATTTTGAAGAAAAATAAAAAATCATAACGACGTAGCGGTGTTTTTTTTTGTTTTTTTTTGTTTTTGGAGAGTTAAAACTGGACATTCATTGATCGAATTATTCTTCTAAAATGGTGTGCGCATTGGTGAGGCGAAGAATAATAACGAGGCACTAGGAACAAAAGAAAAAAAAAAGGGGAGGGGGTTTGCACAATTCCTTTAACATTGAAAAAAAAATATTACGTTTCAGATAAAGAACGCCAAGAAAGTCAAGGTCTCGCGAGAATTTTCGTTTGTGTGTTTCCCAATAAATTAATTGTTTCCTTCAAAAGACCGACCAGGGAAATTTTCAGCCGTACTGGAATATGTTTCCCTTCTTTCTTTCGACCTTGTCAACGAGAAGGAGAAACGATACGGAGCGCTGCAAGTTTGTATGCTTCTTGCACAGGGGTTGTGTTTATGTCAAAACGCCAAGCTCTGACTGTCTGATAAAAAAGAACACAATTGTGGGTAGACCTCAACGCATTTAGCATGGAGGTCTACCCACTATCCTTTCAATCAAAGCGAATCAGAGCTCAGGGTCGCACTGACGTCACCGCAACCCCTTGGCCAGAAGCAGACGACTTGCTCTCCGCATACTCTTAAAGTAACTTCGAAGAATAATGCAATCTTTAACAAGCAGGTCATAAAAAAAGGTGTTTTTGCATTGCTACACTGCGAAGTGCGTCGCAATGTAACCGCATTGCATGTCTGCTATGAAGGCTATATTCTATCGCTTAAATTGCTAGCGCCCCGCATCAAGAAACTAAGAGTCAATTGTGCGTATATTTTCAATCATTAAAAATTGTCATGCTCAGCACGTTGTCGCTCCTGTTCAGCTATCTAACCTTCAATCCACTCCGTCACCTTGCGAGGCATTTTTTAGACCGCGGCACATCGAATGAACGCTTCGTCTCGCGTCCCGCGCATGTGCGCGATAAGAAGTGGAAAGCGGCGCATAATACGTACATCCACTGGCGCCACATGGGGCGGGGCGGACCTCCCCGGGTGGAACGCTCAGGGGGGTGTCGCGGCGGGCCACGCGAAAGCAGGGAGGAGGAGGTTTCGCGGCGGGCTACAGCCCAGGGTGCCGCTGACTTTCCTGACGCCACTGCCTACATCTTTAGAAATATCCCCCCTTAACACAGCAGTTGAGAGTCAGGTTCAGAACGAAGCGCTACCGTGTGAGTTTTTCCTTGAGAAGGCGTTCGGAGGCTTGTTCCTTCTTCTCAGGTTACATGTTTATCAATCTCCGGCCATGCACGTGAGTTTCGTGTTAAATATGTGATTTTTCGGGGGAGCCTAGCCAAATTAATGGCATTGCTTTCCAACGTTAATTTTGGTCGCTGCAAGTGCAAAACGAGTTAAAAAAAAGCCTTCAAATTCGTTTAAGAAAAATAAAACAGCGTGGGAAATACAGACATTTATTACAGTCAGACCTTATGACAACGATGCCCGTGTTACTTGCCCTTGAGTGTCATTTTTCAGATGAAAGGTACTATAACCTGCTATTCGCGTGAGTCAGTCACCAGTCGTTTTTTTGTTGTATCATCCTCACTGTGTTCGGTGAAGTGATGCCTTCCTTCGCGTATGCGTTCCTCTAATTTAAATAATTGGGTCGAACATTGAGTCATATCCATGTCTCTTTGTTGGTGTTGCTAGCGTTTCTTTTGAGATTAGTAGTTTTACGATAACGAGTGTACTTTGAATTTCGCACTGGCGATCATAGCTGAGCTCGCTGCTATTTTTGCACCACCCGGGAAAAAAGAAAGAGAGAAAAGCTGCTATTCTACGAATTTTGAGTGACAAGTTAATCTTCTATAATCTTCTAGAGGGAGAGTAGCGACGTCTGGGAAAGCCTGGGACCTACAAAGGAGAGTCCCGATGAAAAGAGAGTATCTCCTCCCCCTCTTCTCTTGTGATTGCCCGAGAGCTGACGGGAAACTCCTCCCGAGTGTGCACAGTGCGCAGTTACCTCAAATATGGCGCGTCCAGTGAATACCACATGTTTACAAACAAACCGGAGCGCCACTAGCGGGCGCCACCGGCGCCGCGCATGCGCGAGGTAGTTGCGCAAGACGCTCGTCGTCGCCCATAAACAAACTATTGGAATGCGATGTTGTCGGCGGCGGCGTGAGTTCACGTACTCTTTTTCTTGTTGGAAATGTACTGAAGAACGGTATTCAGGGATTTGTTTTTAAAATTGAGGGGAGAGAGAGAGAAGTTTCTATCTTTCTGCATTTGTGACTGCGAAAGGAAAAAACATCGACTCTACTTTTTAATCGTAGGAAACTGGGCTCACAATCTTTTGTGCTTTTCGAAAACACTAAAATAAAGCTGGATTTTTGTTTTGTCTTGTTGCACAACCTGCTTCATATCACGAGTAATCATCATGCAGTCGGCGAGAAAGGAGATGTTTCTTGGAAGCTGTGAAAGGGCTAAGTTTAGTCATTCATGGCAACAAACTACAAGTTCTAGGAGATCTATCGCCAACTAAGAAAGAAGATTCATAACACAACAAGAGAATACCGTGACTTCGAACAGCGTGACGACCGCCCAAAACCGTCTGTTTTATATCCGCGGAATTCATTGTACGTACACCAACAGATGGCCCAGACCCCACGCTGCTGGGGTGGCGCTGAAGTGGGCACGACGCAAGCGCAAACACTTTCCTTGAGATGAATATGGTTTCTGCGCAAGCGCATTGTCTACACCTGGTGTGTGCAAACGCGTGCTTGTTTGTAGACAGCGCGCTGGTCTATAGAGTGTCACCGAGCGGGATGCCTCACTTTGTAGTCGTTGTAGTGTTTGTGCAGTGTGGAAGCGAAGGAATTTACATTCTTATCTCGTATTATGAAAAAAAAAAGAAACTTTTAGCCTACTTTGGGAGATAAGTATAGCCATATTGTCGTTATAAAACAATACTTAGGTACTCGTTTTTTATTGGAACCCAAAGTAAGCAAGGACGTTGTGCCACCTAGTATACATAAAAGAAAACTAATATCTTGAAATTGCTGGCCATTTCTTGTTGAAGCGTCCCTGTAAAAAGGCGCAGCGCCCCCCAGGAAGAGTTATTCTCTTCTCCTACCAGCACTATACGCCTCATGATGCCACCATACGAGTTGCAGCTGTGAAAACAAAAACACATTGTCAACATCATCACTTCATGTTCCAGAAATCCTGAAGGTCATAAAGGGCTCTCAAAAATTATCCCAATGTTGAAGGATGGGGAGGTAATTTCTTTGATGCTGAGCCACAAGCGGGTGCATAAAGACATGAGACTTCATCAACGGTATTGGTACTGTCAAGGTAATAAAATGTCCTAGTTCGGACAACAGCTCTCTCAAGAACTAGCTGGCACATCAAAAAAACATGAAAGTCTGTTTTATTTCGTATTGAACGCGATAGTGGCTGCTGTTCGAACTACGCGCAAATCAGTATATTTTTGCATTGCTGTAGATTGAGATTGAAAAGTATATAAATAATTGGCAAGCTTTGCGGAAATCTGCAAAACTAGATAAGTTACAATAAGCGCGGTCGATATTAGGTTGCCACAGAAGCGGCGAAATCTGGCTAGTCAGTGGAAAGAACAAAATTTTGCGAACTATAGACAATAATTATGTTTTATAATTGACGTGAAGCGGATGCAATAAGAACGTTATCCGGGCTATCTTTTTTTTTTCTGAACACACAGAAGAATGTTCGCACCACTATCTTTCTATATTTATGACTGCGAAACTGCAAAGAGCAATGGATCTACTTGTTAACCTTTGAAGGTGGCGATCTCAAGTTTTTGTTCGTTTCTGAATAACCCAAATAGTGACGAATGTATTTTTGCAGCTTATTGCACAAGCAGCGTTATATCATGAGTTGTAGGCATGCAGTCCGCGAGAGATAGGAGAAGTTTCTCCAACGTCCTGAAAAGGTTACGTTTAGTCACTGATGGCAACAAACCCACAAGTTTTACATCTACCCTGAACGATAGATGAAGATTTTAACGAAGAAACCTACGTGAGTCTGAGCAGTGGGGCGACCGCACATAAAGTTTGTTTTTTATCCGTGGAATTCAGTACATAAACGCCAGCGCGAGGCTCTGATGTGAACTCGATGTGGTGGCGCTGATGTCGGCGCGGCACATGAGGAAACACTCCACTTGACGCGAATCTTGTTTCGGCCCATGAGCAGTGCCCACTCCTGGCGTTGGAAAGCGCAGGCTTGTTTGCCAACAGGTGTGGGACTATAAAATATCGCCAAGTGGGAGGTCTAGTATTTTTAGTTTTATGTGTTTCTGCAATTTTAAAGCGAAGTCATTTACTTTCTTCTCCCGTATCATAAACAAAATCTTAGTCTTCTTTGGGAGATAAGTACAGCCAAACGTTGTCTGCAAAAAATACTTAGGCATTCGTTTTTTTTTTATTGGTACACAAGGCAGGCAAGTATATTGCACCTAGCTGACCTAAAAAAAAGGTCAATTTGAGAAATCAATAGCATTTTTTTTGGAAGCACGCGTGTAAAAAGACGCACCATAGAATAGTGATTCTCTTATTGTGACTCTACAACGATTCAAAAATGCCACTATACGAATCGGTGGGAAACCGTGTTGTCAACATCATGGATTCATCTCCCATTCGTTTCCCTATTGGTAATTCGACAATGTTTCTGGCAGATAAGCGCTCGGATCCATTAGCCACAATTTTAAAAGTTGTGAAGACATTTGGTTTTCGATGGCGAGTATATTTTAGACGCACAAAGACTGGAGCCATTCGCAAGCATTTTTATTCCCCGTATTTACGCATGCATTCCCGAGAAAATTCTAAGCACACGTAGTGTTCCGGACACACGACAGGCGGATCGGCTTTGTCACGCGCGCAAAGTTCCCAGAATCCTGCGAATCAGGCAAAAATAAGACATTCATAATAAAACATAGGGCTTTATGTTTGCGATGCATTGTTGCAAACTACGTAGAAATAGGACAGCATTGCAGATCGAAGGCTGCGTGTTTTTATTATTTATTTTTCTTTATTAAAAATGTATAAACACCTCGATCCTACGTATGGAGTCAGACTTATGCACGAATGCACACGCATTATGTTATAGCGCAGCAATACCGAGCAATATGTTATTTCTCAGTTAAATCTGACAAAAAATGCATTCCAGCTAAATTTAACATTTAAAGCTTTTTAAATATATATACAGCATAAAACCGTTAAACAAACACAATGATCATGTTTTTTCTTAAGAATTCATTAAAACTATTAGTAAGAACGTAATAATTAGCCCCATGATCCCTTGCTCTTTACAATTCTCAAAATGCTGTAGCGCGTAGTAATATAACATTCAGGATTAGCTGATCGCAGGGAAAAATGTAGTAATTTTCGCTAAGGATCAAGTAATCATAACGGTTACCACAATGTTTGTTTTCAAACTTTCCTTCAACGCGCTCCAAGAGCGTTGAAGAACAATCTGGAGCGGTCTGGAGCCGGAGCGAACACGTATAGGAAAGGCTGTGACCGACCTTCCTACGTTTCCAGCAATTTAAGATTATTTAAAATGGTCAAGGGTCAGAAAGTACTGGCGTAGACGTAACACGATTAAGCTCAAGAGTAAATAAATAGGGTTAGGAAAAACATAAATTGACAAGGATAAAGCCTCGAAAGCAGCTGACTTGGTTTATGGCTTAACAAATAGAAAGTATGAGAAAAAACAAAACAAAGAGAAAACAACGGGAAAACCTATAATGAAAAAAAAGAAAAGAAGAAAAAATAGAGGTATGAAACAATTCCACAATAGCCATTCTAAAATGTCACAAACAGTTTTACAAAAAAAAAAAAAGAAATAAGTTCAGTTTGTTTATACAAGCCATAGCTGTATATGTCGCTGACAGCATCAGAAATAAAGATAGTGGCGATACTGAGCAGATCATAATCGCTCTGAAGGCAATAAGATCGCGGTATTTTTTGATGAGAACGCCCAAGAAGGGGGTCGCGAAACGAGGACTGTGTGAACAAAGTAGTCTACGCCCTTTTTTTTAAGCTTTCAGTGACTACAGCTAGCACTTTGATATTCCTTAAGGTTAGAAAACAAAAATGCTGAATCAAACAAAAGGAACTAAATGAACTAAAATTAGCATAACAGCCTCCTTTATAGATTTCGTATTAAAAAGAGAATTTCGTACAAAAAAGAGCGTCAAGAACGATCCCCGTGTTTAGCACGTTTAATATAGCTGTGCGAAACTTTTAGAACGAACACGACATTGCCGCTTTTTAGCATTTTAGCTTGAAGGAACACTGGCGGGTACCGAATTCTATCGCTTAGGCTGGTATCCCAACTAAGCACTTTTCACCACAATGGTAGCTTGTATGAGAGTCTCTCAGTACTAAGAAAAACAAACAAACTGCGATGTCTAGTCCGCGCTAACAGTGTTGCGTAGTGTACACTATGCTTGGTAATGAATACCAATATACGTATATCTCGGATGAATACATGCAGTAATTTGTAACAAAATAGGAACGACGATATACATTACTTGTGATGCGACACACGCGGCAGCAGGAGTAGTCGTAAAAGAATTCCTTTCCCTCGCATGGATAATTGAAGCATTGCAGACACGGAAAGAACCGCCGTCCAGGTACCGATACGTTAAAGCGGATTTGGTAGGGATCCGATTGGGATGCTCCGACGGCTTGTAGCATGGCATGTGCGGCGACCACCAATAATAACTTGATTGTAAATTCCATATTTCGACAACAGCATTCACCTTTCGTTCCACCCTGGCACACTCGTGCGGTTACCTATTGAAGAAATAGCGGTGAACGTTTGTAGTGCAGCCTATACAGAAAAACAAATTGCAAGCAGCCACGCGAAGTGTGCTGCGATTGACAGCAGAAAGTGTTGACGTGTTGAAAGATGTGCTTTGGAAACTTGATTTTAGATTTTGGAAGCTTTACTTAAGTTGATGTGCTTGCGGATATTTTCTTTTAGTCAATGGGCTTTAGGGTATTTGCTTCAGGAGCTTCGTTTTTAGAAGTATAGTGTTGGAGATGTGGTTTGGAAGATGTGTGCATTTGCGGAATGTCTTTACGAGAAATGCTTCTACAATGTGTGTCGTTGGCGAGCGAATGAGGCTGAGACGTGATTTTTGGATTAAATGCTTAGGTAGAACGTGATTTTGGTCAATCGCTTTTATAGACGTTTGCAAGCAGCCGTGCTTCAAAAATAAGTCTGGCCGCTGTGGATGCTAAACTATTCCTTTGGGCAACAGTCTGGGAACCGTGGGTATACCTTAGTAACGGTCGACTACCAGGCAACCAATGCGAGCCAGCAGCGAGATAGCGACGTCCTGAAGCCGTACTTGTTAACAGTTATTGCCACCTCTTATAGCTAAATTGATCGAAAATAGTACTTAGCTAAAAACTGGGGTGAGATTAAGCTATTTGCAAAATCAACAATCTTCCAAACATCTATGAAAAATTAGAAATGCAGGCCCATTGAACCCGACCCCTTCGTGAATAGCGTATTTCTATTCTTTCCTATTTTCTTTTTTTAGTGACGAGTGGTAAAATCGTATTTGTTTTATTATGAGTACGAGTGGTAGGCTAGAGGACACTTCGTAAGGTGAGACCACATAGAAAGTTTCAGTAACTATCTCAAAAGAAAACGTCCTCAAACTGGAGTCGTTATGATTCATAAGCAGACTTAGGAATTGCGATCATTTCGTTTTTTTTCTTTTTACTTTTTGATACTAAAAATGGTACTTGAATCGACCAATCAGAAATGGAAGACACAATTATGTAGAAACTAACTTGACTATATCTGTAGACATATCCATTTCCTTTGCATTTTGTTTGTGTTCAAACTTTATGTGGCGTTGTAATGCCTTAATTAGGCTGCATTTAGTAAACATGTTTACACAGCTTCGTGCAAGAAGTTTAAACATAAAAGGTATAATATACCGCGTTAACACGTAACACTGTCCAATATCCAAATGCTCGATTGTCGACAAATATAGTCTGACAAACTCAGAGTTATAGCGTCATTCCGTGTCACATAAGCGTGCCACATTATATCTTTTAGTGAGATAATCTGGGCAAAGTTCTGTATACCGCCTAATAGCCACGATGTTCAAAGACATTGCAACAGGTGTGTTAGGCAACGAGTGCCGACTTTCCTGCTCAAGGAGATACATCGATCTAAAAGAAATGAACACACACACACACACTAGAAACAACATGACAGTTTCCACAATTGTTTTCTGTACATGCGCGTTTCAATTACAGATATCCTAGAAAAGTAAAGAAAAGTATTGTCCACCCGCAGAGATGATTTAGGAAAATATACTCCCAATTACGTATAATTAAAGGTAGTTCTATCAGCGTTCATTTTGATGGCGGTGGCACGGCAGCTATACTCGTTATCACATAACAGAAGGACGTTTTTGCGCAATATTCACGCGCTTCGCGAAGTAGTTCTGACAAGATTTGGTTGTCGGAAGGAAACAAAATAGTACCTCTGGGGAATGAAACATGTACGGAATGATAAAATAGCAAAAGGCTAATCTAAGATACGCAAACATATATCTTACTTAATTCAACACATTAATGTGGATATTAAGCAATGTTCCGCGAGCACCGAGCTTTTTCTACTATGGTTCTTGAGGTGAATAGAAGAAGACGAGTATCATTAATATATAATTAAAAAAGTGGCAAGATGTTCTCAACCAATTTACTAAACGACCTACTCACGGGTCACTGTGAACGAAGTTACCGTGAAGTTGATGAAGTTAGCGTGCCTATTATTGGTCAGTTGACGCGTCCAAATTATATATGTGTCGCTCGACAACATTCAAACGTTCATTATACGAACTGCAAGACGTCAGATTCGCGTCATAAACATGCATTTCAAAGGAATAGCAATTGCGGTTCAAAATAAATATTAGGGACTTTTTTGTGACGCGTAAATGTATGCGTCACTACCTCGCTCCAGAATCATACCGGCTGTGAATTAAGCTTTTGAGCGCAGGTGTGGAGTGCCATCAAGACCTCTTTCGTTGTTGGAGATGACGTTATTTATTAAAATATTTGCCGGTGCTCGTCATAACAGGTGTGATGTAAAGGCGTCACATAAGCACCCCACTGTAAAGGGTGGACCGCTCCGCTTACTGGGAAGAACATGCAACTTCGCGTGTTGAGGATTATACCAATATTTTATGATGTTCTTCGTATTCTGCTTAGTACCGGCTGAGAAACCATACATTCTCACCGATTATTTCTTCGTGCTTGCCTTAGGTACTAGCGGAAAATGCCTTGGAAGCGCCCACTTAATTTTCACTGAAAACTGGGTTAACCAAACATTGGTGCTTATCAAGTCCTGTCGGGCACTTAACGTAGAATTTGCAAAATTGCCAAGTTAGGGGGAAGTGAAGAGAGGGCGCTTTGACGGTATTTTACAGTAATATATATATATATATATATATATATATATATTGTATATATAATCATTGTAAAATACCGCAGAAGCGCCCACTGTCCACATTTCCCAAACTTGGCAATTCCGCAAATTCTATCTATATATATATTTATTCTTACATTTCAGTCAATCTCAAGATTAATATGCTAAATTAATTCTCGTTGTTACAGTACTCCTGCGCCTAAGAAGCCACAAGCTATAGTCTGTTTTTTTTCGTGACGGCCACCATATTGAATTATGTCGACGCTGAGTGGAGAAAATAAAGCTAATCACTCTTTTTCAACTCAAAAGCGCTGAAATTGAAGAGGTTCGTGCCATTATTTCTACTTTCTTACTTCTGTATGCCTTCTTATTGTAGTTATGCTTAAACTATTTACTTAATTTTTTTCTCATCCAATCCAGCTACGCCATATTTCAACATGGCGACCGTCACACAAAAACAGTCTATGCAGAGCGCAAGTTTGTTTCTTCCTCAGAGGTTGCGGTAACGTCAGAACGCCTAGCTATAATCAAGTAAGCATAGTGGGTAGGCCTCGAGGCTGCCAGCAATGAAATCTACTACCATCCTTTATTGTCAATATAAAAAACACTACATGAAACGCTTTAATTCCTTTATGTGAGCGTATGATACAATGGGGGGGGGGGGGGGGGGCACATTATAGAAAACGCTAGCCTTAGGCTCCAGCTGAGATTGAGACTTCCAAAATGTTGTTTATATGTGTGGTGCATAAAAGCAAGGCCCGCTCTTACCGTCACCTGTAGTCATTTAATATAACAATATTTACGCTTTCTTTACGTCATCGTAAAATAATGCAAATAACATTACATTACATTTTAATTCCGTTTATCATTTTTTAAAGGAGGGTGCATTTTATGAGCTGCGTCCGGAAAAATAGGTGTTGCGGACGGTCTATTCATTGATATGTCTATGTGATCTACCCCCCGATTAAGAGTGTTCAGATGTGTGAACCTATTCATACATGGTCGCGGTTACAAGCAAGCCGAATCTACTGACGGCTGACTCTACAAAGCCAGACAAGGATTGCAACACTGCAGATCCCTTAATTTGTGGCTACCGCATTTCCCTTGTAGTTGCGGATTTCTAAACTGCTGAGGACAAAGGGTTTTTGGACACGGAGACTTACAACGGTCAACCCCGACGATGGAGCAACTGAGTAATTGAGTGTTGTACAAGCATCTGCCGACCCGCCCGTTCAGTATCCAACCGATAAAACGTACCCTTATTCTCGCGCTGACAATCCCGAGCGATTGTCCATGCTTTGTTAATATACAGCCCTTAATGCTCACCTCACACTCCCACCACACTTGTAGGCGAATTGTTCTTGTTGAGATATCAACTCAAATTTCTGCTATTTTATTGATGTATAGTTTTGATGTTTCATTTTGCAGGGAATGAAAATCAGAGTTTGTGCATTGTTACACTTTTAAACATGTTGATTCTATTTACCCCAAAAACTGGGGAGGGTCAATCGCCGCAATCTACGGAAGGAACTCAGCGAAAAAACATGCTGAAAATGTGTGTAGACCTACAAACTCAAAACACCACCTACTCTGTGAGATGGATCATGACGTTTCAGGAATTTACTTCATGATCAGCGTCCCCGCGCCCACAGTTTTACTCTTTTTTGTCTAAACCAGCTTTTATCCTTCATGATCAGTGCCGTTGTCTGTGTCTATACTCTTCTACTGGCTCGTCGTTTGTTTCCGCTGTATTCTCGTTCCAATGCATCACCAACTCAACCAGATTTCTACGCTTCTACTTTTAGCCACGTCCTTCGCCGAGCATTCTCCGTAGATTGGAGCGACTGGTTCTCTTAGGTGCTTTGTGGAAATTGTGCCCTCCAGGTGACACAATTTACCACCTGATTAATATTGTTCAGCCCTTTGTGTCCATTCATCCAGAGTAGCATTTACAAGCAAACCACACTGTATGACAGCAGACTTGACAAAGCTGAGAAGGACTGCAGCTTCGCAGATTTCTTAATTTGTGGTCTTTTTGGAAGTGTCTTCTGTCAGTCGAAACGGTTTGCTCGTAAATGCAACTCTGAATGAATAGACATAATTGGCTGAACCATTTAAACAGGGTGGTAGATTATGCCCCCTGGACGGCATCATTGAATGGACCGCACCACCAATAACAAGAATTATGCTAAAATTCGGGCCAGTCGCTTGGCCAGAATCTCCATAGTGATACTCTTTGTGTGTGACAGAAACTTTTGGAATTGATAATGCTACAAAACCGCGATTCCTAACAGTTTATACTGGATACGATAACCTTAATTAATGATTCTCAATGCACCAGATGTTT